ACATAGTACCTGTTATACTTTGTTGAATGGTAACTGTGCAAGTTTTTTGTTCAGAACCCAAATCATTAGTTACATTAACTGTGACGGGATGGTCTCCGCAGGTTGGAAATGCATACGTAATGAGAGTCTGTAGTTCTTTCACTGTGGTCACACGGATGTAATGCTGAACCTCAAAGGCAGTAGCGTCCGATTTAGCCAGTGTATCTCCAACGCCGCGAGACACCGCCGAGTATTGGTACTCAGTGTTATTATTTGTGACGTTTTGCCAGCCGATGCCTGCTGCAGTAGTTTCGTAGCCGATTACATAGCCAATTTCCGCAACAACTCCCACTTTGATGCCAGCAATTGGTATTTTCACGTATTCGTAGGCGTTGGTTTTGGTGAACGTCACAGGTATAGAAGCAACCACCTTGTAGTCATTTCTTGGACTTGCTTCGTCATACCTGTTATTCTTAACTGTGCACTCTGGCGAATTGTCGGGATCTTCACATGTGCCTGATAAGGCACAGTATATCCCGTTTGCGTCACAATATTCAGTGTACTCTGGATTTGACGGGTAATCAAATACGTAGTTGCAACTGCTTTCTGTGACACACTCGTTGTCATAGGGACAGTACACATCACCCCCTCCTGCACAAATCGGTTTCAAAATCTACGAGATAAATATTCGTTATTGATTTTCAACCACTGGCATAAACGTTAAAGTATAATACAAAATACAAAAAAATAACTAATCATCAAGTGTAACAGAATTAATAAAAGCCACAATTAAACATATTAACGTTAGTAGATATATCCAAAGCTAGAATATTCATCTGCAGCATGGAACCCACACGCTAATGGGCAAATGAACTTCTATAGAAGCTGTATAGTGTCAGGCAGCTCGTTTTGTCACCAACAACGTTGATAGCACTGCCAGTGTCACTGAGAAGTTACAGGATCTCCAGTGGGATTCTCTTGCTACACGAAGACTTTACCATCAGTGCTCCATGTTTTACAGGATTAAGTTCGTTAACATCTCTTTTCCAAGTTGTGTTTTTCCATCAAGCCGACCAGGACAAAACACCAATATCCTCCGGCTACAAAACTATTCAATCAAGGGTAAACACTTATAGGTATTCTTTTTTGTGTGCACCATTCCTGTGTGGAATAGAATCCCTTCATCTGTCGTCGCAGCTTCTTCAATACAACAGTTCCAGAGTCTAGCGCTACCAATCTTGAGGGATCTTCAACCCATCAACATTTTAAAATCTTTCTTACTATTTTACTTACACAATTGATTTGTAAAGCACAGGGGAAACTGCAAAGCACAGACTCCTTGAAAGTTTTTGCTTTTTATGGAGGACATGATTCAAGATTCAAGATCCATCATCATTATCATCATCATCATCATCATCATCATCATCATCATCATCATCATCATCATCATCAGCCTGTCATGCCACTACAGGCCGATGCCTCCTCAAACTGGTCTGTAATTCTTTGCATGATTTGCCCAGTTCACACACCATGTTCTGGAAAAAGTCACCACACCTTTTATTAGGTCTTTTTCATACTGTTAACCTTTTGGCCCGGTTATGGTTCATACGAGCTACATGGCCTGCCTACTCTCATTTTGTATTCACACATGAATGCTAATAACATTTTTAAAAAATATCGATAATTCCAATTACCAGTAAATTCACTGTTCCGGGAGTAGTCACGTAAGCCTCAACAGACAAAATATACCCAGGCTGAAGGATTTCTAAGCCAGGTAGTACCCATACTGTTGAACCCGAATGCACAAGGAGACGTGGGCCTAGTACCTGTTCTGTTGAACCCAAATTCAGATCAGAACCATCTTCCAAATCTGTCCGTGTTCCCTCAGCAACAAAACCAAGGCTGTACATTGCAGGACCTATATATAAAATGGCGACGTAGTGATTATTACAAATATTTATGTTATACAAAGATATTATGTAACATAATTATGAAGAGGAAATTAGGAACCTAAAATTATCATATTTTGAGAATTACAACCCATCGAACGCCCCC